TTTTTTTTTTTTTTTTTTTTTTTTAATTGTGTGTAGAAAATAAAAATAATTTTCACTTGCATTTGTTCCTTCCTTAGTTTTTATAAGAATTAAGCAGGGTCTAGGCCAGTGGTTTTCAACCTTTTTAGACTCAAAATAGCCCTCCATAACTTCTGTGAATTGAGTGACATATTTCAAAAACTAATTCATGTATTACAGTGCTTAAATCCTGGCAGAAAGGGCCTGGCAGTGGGGATGTAGGAACATCCAGGCAGAGATGAGCCTGAGCTTCCATTTATCTCCTAACACCTACTTACTCCTCTCACATTTTGGCACCCTTCAAAAAGAGCTGGTGGCACCCCAGGGTCACCCAGCACCTTGGCTGAGAATTGGTGGTCTAGGAAGTCAACCTTTAGTTGTAGTGGCTTGCCTTAAGTTGGCTTTACTCTAGTGAGCATGCAAGGTCATATTGAGGGTCTAGAGAGGGTCACTGTCAGTCAGAGCAAGCAGTCAATCCAGGCCAAGAGATCTAAGGCAGTATCAAGCTTTAACTGGCATTGGAGCAGGAAGATTGTAAGCAGCTTCACCTAGTAATGCCATTGATAGATTGTAAGGCAGGAAAGGACCTCAGAAGATCATCGGGTCCAGTCCCCTGTACCAGCAGAAAAGATAACTGGGGGTAAGGTGACTGTCTAGTCTCCTTTTGAAGATTTGAGAGCTTGGATACCCTGACTGAAGTTTTTCCTAATGTTGAGCATGAATTAATTTTCCAGGTGTTTGTGGCCATTACTCCTGTTTTTCCCCTCAGGTGCCCTGGTGAACAGCTTCTTATCGAGCTGTTGATGTACTACACTAGTGTAGTGGTAAGCTGCTACCAGGTCCCTTCTCAGCCTTCTTTTCCTGAGGCTGAAGAGTCCCAGATCCCTCAGCCTCTCCTCATATGGCTTGCTGCGTAAGACTTATCTCATACGGGTGGCTCTTCTCTGGACTCTCAAGCTTGTCCACATCCTTGTTAAAGTGCAGTGCTGAGAACTGGCCACAGTACTCCAGCTGTGGTCTCACCAGTGCTGAGTAGAGCAGAAGAAGAATCGCCTTGGTCTTCCTGGAGATGCACTGATTGATGCATACCAGAGTATTTGCCCTACTGGCTACAGCATTGCACTGCTGGCTCATATTCATACTGTGGTCTATTATTACTCCCAGGTCCCTTTCATTCGTGGTGCTAGTCAGTTTGGTGCCGCCAAGCTTGTAGGTGTGTTGGGGGTTGCTCATCCTGAGGTGGAGCACTTTACATTTCTCAGTGTTGAACTTCTCCAGGTTCTGATCTGCCCAACTTGCCAGCCTGTCTAGGTCTGCCTGTAACTAGCCTATCTTCAAGCATGCCCACATTCCCCCATAACTTGGTGTCGTCCACAAACTTGGCCATTGATGGGACCAAGGGCCTGTAGGAAGCTAGAGTCTTCCAACCAGGGCTGTGGCTTCTGTTGCTGTGACCTGGTCTGCTCTCCCACTAGAAACCTTGCAGGAGGACCCAGGCTGATGGGGCTCAGATCTGGCCAGGTGCCTCATTGCATTACCTCATGGGCCTCTACCTGCAGGTGTGAAAGGTCTGGGTTCAAATCCAATCCATGACACTTGCAATAAATGTAAATCATTAGCCTTGTCTGGTAACATGGAATGAGTAGGTTTCAGATATCTAACTGGAGAATTCAATGGAATGAGCAACTGGTGTACATGTTCATTTGCTTTTTCTAAAATAAAAAATGTGCACAACTTGCGGCTGCCTAGTCCCTTACCCATAGTACTCTTGTGGCTGATGAGCTGTAGCTGATTATTTCAAAGTAGCTGAGCCAAGAATTGGTGTGCTTCTAATACCCACCTGGTAACTGCCTGTTTCTGAGTTCTAGAGTTTGAACAGATCAAATGGATGTGGAAGTGCGGGTGATTCGAATGGTAAAAACCAGCAAGGCACAGATGCTCCTATGCAACTTAAAGTTCTTGCTAGTCTTCCCTGTTTCATCAGATGAGACTCCTACCTTGTGCGGACTTTATAGAAACTTTATACAGTTTCTAAGCATGATGCAGGATTCTCCTGGTGTTCTGCACCTCATGAAAGATTATAGAACTCAAAATACTTTTGCTATTTCTACAGTGGAGGAGGTGTACAGAAGCTTCCTGACTCACCTGAAGCTCCTCGAGCTCCTTGCACACTTCCATTTGGGGTAGCAAATGAAATGTTTTCACTGCACTTGCTGGACATTAACAGCGCTTAGGCTACTACTTCCATAGGACTAAGCTGTTCAGAAAGTCTCTGGATCTTCCAGTGGACAAGATCTGAAGATGCAGCAATGTCAGCCCAAATATTGCCTACTGCAGCAGTTTACAACCTTTTTGGACTCGAGGCACCCCTCCGTAGCTTCTGTGAATTGAGTAGCACCCAATTTCAAAACTATATATTACAGTGCTTACCTCCTTGCAGTGGGGCTGAGCAGTGGGAATAAAGACAGACATGCACAAGCTTGCCCTTATCTACTCATTGGGTTGCTGTATTTTGGGCCGTAGAAAACTTATGAGATGGTGAAGTGAATAAGGGCAAAACCCAGGCTATTTCCTTAGCATCCCTGTGTAATGTCCCCATAAGTGACATCTGCAGGGAAGCCACCTGAAGCTCCATCTATCCCTTCAAAAACGTGCCACTGTGGAAGCTGCTAGAGCAAGTACTACAACTGGCAGAGCAGTCCTATAATTGCTGTTTCCTTGACGGGACTGGAGGCATTTTTGGATATGTAAATATTGCTCGGGAGTGACCCATAAGTAAGAATGTGAACATGGACAGTTATGCAGAATAGCAAACATTTTGGATGTCCGTGAGAAGTATTGCACATTCGAGTCTCACCCTCTTCCTCTTTGCTGGAGTCTAAATGGAATCGCATGCTGCAGTTGAGGGGGGGGCGGGGAACGAGATGGAAGAGTGTGCTGCCCTTTTATCCTATTGGCATGATGAGGAGTGGAGCTAGCATATACTCCAGTGGTCTCCAAAGTGGGGTGCGCAAGATGATTCCAGGGGGTAGGCGAAGAAAATATTAGAACTTGTATTTTTATTTATTTTTATCTAAAAAAAAAATAAGTAAGAAATTAAGCTTTACTGATATTTAATATACAAATTGACACTGGTGCTGTCACTCAGTCCGTATGTTGGACGGTCACGTGTCACGTACGGTACGTGAGGTATCCTGAGGGAAGAAGCGTTCGTTTGCTTTCAGCATATTGTGATGTATTGAGTTTACGTGTGCCCAGTTAAACGGATTTACAGATTATATTATCTAGTTTTAAGTAAACTAACCCTCACAAAATGGACAAGTGGCTTAAAAAGATTCCTGCAAAGAAACCAGGGATTGTAGATAATACTAATAATGCGAGCACAAGCGAACAACAAGAAAATGGCAGGGCTGACACTTCTACTCCTAGTAAGAGCTCTTCATCAGCTGCATTATGAGGTAAAAACAACGACGGATTTAATTTCTATTTTTTGTGTATGTTTTATAATGTACATAATATATTAGTACAGTAGTACATGTATATAATTTATAAATAAATAAATATACATGTATTGGGGGTGCGTGCTCAAAAATTTTTTACTGATAGGGGTGCGCGATCAAAAAAGTTTGGAGACCACTGGTATACTCTGTGGGGTCCTGTTAATGCAAAATGTTTCCAGTCAAAGCTAAAGGAGAGATGCATGTGGACAATATATCTTGAGGAACTCCAGGTGCTGATAAGTAACTGTTTGTCATCAGCTGTGGGTTTTTTTTGTTTTTTACCAAGGCTGATGCACAATCCAGGAATTTTAGACGAGATTACTTTTAAAAAAAATACTTAACCGTATGGGGATCTGCAGTTGTGCTGCCATTAATCTCTGCACCTCCCTGCTTCCCCCAGCCCTCCAAGTCTGCGGCTCTGTCCCAAATTCCACTGCGAGCTGCAGATCTAATTCCTACAGAGGAAGTGTTTTCTGAACAAAGGCGGCTGAGATTAGTTTTTTCTGTTTGCTCTTGTTTTGGACTATGGGCTTTCCCACCCCATTCAACAACTAAGGCAGGAGCACGAACCTCTTGTGTACACAGCTCTGGGGGCTTCATGGATCTTCAGCTTCCATTGCAGAGGCTAGCACTGAACAGGTAGTATTTAAAGCTGTTGCAAGGCAAACTGTTCAGACTCTTTCGCTATTAGTTTTGGTTTCCTTTTCTAAATGAATTCAAGGCCCTTGGACGTGCAAGGCTGATGGCATTAGCCGGCAAATTAGCCACAGAAAGAGGATTTGGATACTTTAAGTTAAATATTCTCCAGGTATTAGCTACTGAGATGAATCTTACTACATTTCACGGTAGGCTGGGACCAAAACTGCATTCCCACATGTTTCCACAAGATGTAGCTGCTGCCTTTCTTAACCATGCTGAAAATATTATCAGTAATAATTTAAGGAAACAACCTATTTAGTTCTTTCAACCTGTGCAATGCATTGATTCTCCCTCTATCTGTTCTTCAAACACTTATGTGTACTGGAAGATATATTAATATAGCTTTCTTGTTCTGATAAACCTTCCATAGGATGGGGAAACTGCTGCAGACAAAGACAAATGAACCTACTACTCATAAATGCAAGACTCCCTAGATAGTAGATAATGTGACTTGGTACACTTGGTACTCTCAAGATAATCTGTACCCCAGCTGCCTTGCACTGAGATCCTGCTGGTTTTTTCAAGGTAAGCAGGAGGCTCTTGGACCAATATTTGAATAGAAATTTTACAAGAGACTAGATATGAAAGAAAACAGGGCTGGTGGATCAGTAGGTGG